CTCATATCATCAAAGCATGATGATAATCATTTTATGTTATGCTATCAATCTGGTGATGGTTAAAAATAGACCTGTTGTGATAGAGTTTTATATTTAGTTAGCTATTATAAATTCTAAATATATTAATTTTCTAAGAAAATAATTTATTCTTAATAAATTTTTATATAAATAAAATACATTTTTATTTTTATGTTTCCTTTATAAGCAATTGAGACTCACATTCTAATAATTTACTCTTGTACATACTGTATTTATGTAAGCTGATAATGAACTTTGTAGTGAAGAAATTGAACATTTGTGATGATGCACAGCAATTGAGATCACTGACTGATACCTGTACAATCAGGTTGCAGAAATTTTGGGGATTATGTATGTGGATGAAGATACTCTGTTACATAACAAATTGTTTTATTGATTGAAGAAATGTTTACAATAATTCCATGGCATTTTCTCCCAAACAGATAATATCCACATGATTAGTCTTTATAGGATACTAAGAGGGGTCTGAAGTTTTATTTCATGTGAGCAAATTGTCCCTCAATAGTTCATCAGTCCTGGGCTGTGTTACACATTGGTGGCGCTTGGGTGAGTCACCAGTTTTTGGTCACTCTTGAACAATGGGACAGGCTGTAATCAGTTGATCTGAGATATGATGTAGATGAAAATGAGAACACAAAAGAAAAAAGAAACAACTTGATGCTAAGGACATTTTTGAGAGATCCTCTGGGAAAAGATCAACAGATCATTTTGGGGAAAAAGAATGTCTTGTCTTTGAGCACAGACTTTTATTAATGCAGTCTTTCACTCACCCATCATGATTAGTATTGAATTCTGTCCTCACTTTCCAAGCAGTCGCTTACCTGTTGCTAGATACAATGTAAGCCCAACTTACTTGTTAGTTATGGGAGAGGTCAGCATTGATGTTTAATCTGATCCCAACCAGAGATGATCAATTTTAATACTTACATTGTTTATTTGTTTTATTTGTTCCTTTATTATTTATTTTACAAACTATTTCTGTGTCTCTCTTACTCTCTATGAAAAAAACATTTTAAAACACTAGGGGTTTGGATTCTGTTTAGAGCCTTACTCTTTATTTCTATTATCTGTGAAATGTTAACATGTAAAGACACTATGTCATATTGGTAGCATAAAATTTTAATATTAAGTATTTTGGATTAATTTGGACCAGTTTTTAAGTTCTCTGTCATTCAAATAAAATACAATGTGTGAATATTGTATTTTATTTGAATGACAAAGAATGTAATAAAATGAGATGAATCAAAACTGAATAAGTCAATTTTGAATTTTTATACTTTGTTTGGCTGACTCTAACTGAAAACAAATTTGAAAATATCTTAACTTTTCTGTTTCTTTTCAGTTTTTCAGTTGCAATTAGCCAAAAATAAGATATTTTGTGAACAGCATCAGCAAATTGTCAGTTGCCTTGTCTATTCTCAGCATTTTCGTAAATGTTTAAAAAAGAACACACAATGCCGAATTAAGAGATTACTTGTAATTGACAGAGACATTTAAGCAAAGCTTTTTCTACTTTGAAATAATTAGTTTTGTAAGCAAAAATTTTATTTACATGAAAAGCTTTAAGATTAGATTTCAGTATGACTTGTTGTGTTAAAGTTGGCTAAGCAAGTTTAAAACAGCCATGAAATCCATAAAAATATACAAACAATTTCAATGGACATTTTTTTTGCGAGTCAGTTTTGACTGGAAATATTAAAAATAGGAAATTGGATGGAATGAAAAATTATAATGTACACATTAAACATGAGTAAGCCCAAAGCTTGCATCTACTAATGTCAATGATAAAATATAGATATGGCATATTTTAGATTAAATCAAATAGAAGATAGTGTTTTTTTTAATTAAAACATATTTCAATCATATAAAAATTGTTTTAAGTTTCTTCTTATAAGTATTCTTACATATTTATGTTGAAAAATAGTCAATTATTTTTGCCTGAACTTTTTACCAAAAGTTGTTTTTTTTTTTAAACAATTAGTTTTGATTGTTAAAATAAAAATTATATCATCAGAATATTTTCTTGTTGATCAAAACTATTTCTTAGTTTTAAACTTATCGTTATTTGAAACTGTCCTCAAATAAAATGTTTTGACCTTGTTAGTAACACAATTCAATATATTTATTGCATTGTCCAGTATTTTTTGAGATATAATACTTATTCAAATTTGATTTTCATATTTATGTACTAGCAATAGCCAGGTGAGATTTATATTTCTTCAAGATCATACCAATTAATCTATAATGTAAATTCAATTTTATCTATACTTTCTTCTATTTGGATTTTAATTTATATATTTGGGAAGATTTGTAGTTTCTATCATAATTTGTAAGCTAGCTCATTACATTTCAACAAATATTTATTTTAAAAATGATTTGTGATTATTTTAATTTTAGATTTTGTTTTAATTACTATTGTTTTTAATATTCAAATTGAAGTTTATTAATTTAGGATTTAATAAGACTGTTTTCATTATTTTACAGAAAAGAATTAATAATACTCCTGTGATATGGAAAACTCATAATCCATTTGTAAATTTAGGATCTTGTATCCGTCCAAATTCTGCCTTTTCTCCTAATATTTCAGGTATTGAAGATTATAATTTAAATAAAAATTAATTTTAATTTTTATTTTAATATATTTTATTTTTTGTTACAGCTTATAGTCCAATTAATAGTTACACGGTTCCACAATTTCCATTTTCCCATCAACGTGCGCCTACAGGTGATACATTTTTGATGCGACATCCTCCTCCTCCACCTACGGCATTCATACCTGAATCGTTTGTAAATTCTAATCGTCAGATTTTGGATGGTCCACTTTCAGTTGCCTCACAAATAAACCATACAATGAACAAGCCTCCTTTCTTTATTTCAAACAGTACAAAAAAATCTGTTGTAAATAAAACATGTGAAATTACAAGAAAAACAGAATTTAGTCAAAAACAATTAAAAAATGAAAGAAATGACAGTTCTGACATGTTTGTGCCTTTGCAGGTAACAAAATTCTTTCATTGGTCTTATATTTATGGGTTTACAAGAAAAAAATTTTAATCAAATTTTTTATGTACTTTTAGGTGACAAAACAGCAGTCTGCTTTAAAAAAGAGTCAGGAAGAAAATAAAACTTCAACCAAATCCTCACAAGAAAGTAATTCTGCAGGAGGTAAAAACAAATCTTCGCAATCTTTGCCGAAAAAAGAAACACAAACAAAAAAGAAACAACATAGAAAGTCAAGGTTAGCTGTAAAATTTGGAAATGATGGTAGTTAATTATTAAAAATCTCAAAGCAAATTTGGCTACCATGTAGCATTAAGATGTTTTATTTGGAATGAACAGATGTTTTTAATCTAAAAGATAGAAAAACTGTATATATTTATATATATATACAAACATTATAATTGTCTTAAAGATTTTAATATTTTGTAAAGTACATTTATTTTCATTAATGGATTGTTTCCCATATTATTTTTAGCGACTATCTACTGCGTATAGAAATTGTATAATGTTGACACCAAACAAAACATTTGTAATTAGTTCTCTTTTTCCTGTTTTCTACCTCCAAACTTAATATGAAAGCGATGTATGTTAGTAGCATTTCAATTGAGTTTTTTAAACAAACAATGCTGAAATTACAATAAAAATATTTTATTTTTTAAATTTGTGATTTATTTTTATACCTTCAAATTTCTTTTTTTTTTTGGGTGTCCTTAACATTTTAAGAGGTAGTCTGAGTAACAAATGTTCCTGGTTACACAAACACATTTTGTCTCCTTGCTTGAGTCATATCATGTATTCCTTACTCCATTAAAATTAGCCAAAAAAATATGCAGTATATAATTAGATTAATTTGTCTTTCTTTAACCAACAAAACTATTTGTCAAATAGGTGACATCACTTTTCTTTACAAAACAATAGCATAGAGGCTTTTTATATTTACAATACTTTAAATATGGTATGGTATGTGGTTGAAAACATTACCATATGCAAAGGTCTGGTAACTTAATGTAATAAAAATATTTTGATCTTCAAATTTACAATTAATTTTGATTCATAATTTATAGAATATGATTATGGGATACAGAAGGCATTTCAAAAAGAATCTAGTGAGTTTGTTAAATCTATTAGCGAAACAATTACTATTAGCATCCAGTATATTTTAAAATATACTTGATGTGATATTTTTGGCAATATTGTGCTTATAAGTTACTCCCTCCTAGCATCAACAATATCTGGACCCTTACATAATGACTCTTCAAAGAAATGATATTCTAGAACAGTGTTCTTCAACCTTTTCACACCTGCAGACTGGCAAAAATAGGAATATTTCGCAGACCGGCAGAAGGCTAAACATAAATTTTCTTAGACACGGGTGATGTGTGCAACTGTCATAACTTTATTCAAACAATTGCAATAATCAAAAATAATTAAAAACTGTTTACATTAATTACAAATTTAAAATCTTGTAATTACAAAATTTCCTGCCAGTCTACAAATTTCTTATGGACCAGCACTGGTCTACAGAATCAAGGTTGAAGAACATTAGTCATACTGATTAACTTCAAGATAAGTGTATTAATGTCACCTAGACAATGATGATTCACTTACAATGAAAGAATTATTTCTCCTCTTATTATGATTTTTAATAAATTAACTTATAAAATTCTCATAATAAATTTTATATAATTAATATGGAAATTGTCAGTTTCATACATTAATTTTACTTGTTTAAAATTAACATATTTGTGAAGTAAAAAATCATACAAAATTGTTTTATAAATGCTGTTTTGTTTGTTTTCCTCTTAAAATTACCATATATCTTATGTATATAAAAAAAGTTTTATTTTGAATGTGGTAATTTTTCTGTTAAAATTATTTAATTTGATTGTAATAAGAAAATAAATTTACAACAAAACAACTTGTGCCAAGTTCATTTGCCATTAAGAAAATGATCTGAGATGATAATCACTGCTACTTTTAAGTAACAAATACCATGTGGATTACCGAGATAGAAAATACAACAGGTATATACTACGATGACTGATAGGTTGATATCTTAACTACATTGGCCATCTTGCTATTTCTCTGGGGATCTGGAATTGAATCCAGGCAATAAAATCAAACTCTTGGAATTTTTTGTAGTTAGTCTATCCCAGACATTTTGGGTCTCATCACTTACCATCAATAATGGGCATGGGAAAAAACTCTTCTTAATGTCCATAGGAAGTGCCCATGGTGACCATAAAGAGCCAATAAAGATTTAACTGTGATTACCCTTAGTGGAATCCCAAAACACCTCAGAAAATAAAAGAAAATGCTCTTAAACTATTAAGCCATTTCCTATTTTATAGCAAGATGGTTCAAGAAAGTTTTTATCTCTACATATGAAACCATTAAATAATTAAATGGCTCTATTTTCAGTACCAGTATCCTAACCAGTATTCCAAAATACTTCTGATAAAGTAGGAAATAATTCTTATATATCCTTGATTTAATCTGTTTTCTGAGAAAGGAAAAAAGGTTCATTTCTCAAACAAATGGAAATCAGAAATGGATTTATAAAGCTGTTGTCTGAATACTATCAATAGCTATGTGAATCCAGAACACTTGGATTAATTGGAAATTAGCTCATATAAACATAATGTGGAGCAGAGTAGTTTTCTTGCCAGAAAATTATTTCATCAAACATACAGGATTACATACAAATGTATTTTTTTAATGGAACCATTAATACATTATGTCACTGTTAATGTCCTGAGCTACCTCAAAAAATACCCGTGGAAACATAACCATGTCAAGGTTTTTGATTAATTGAAGCTAAATTAAACTAAGAGAGAAACTTATCTAAATAGTAAAAACTCAAGCAATGAGTTGCTTAACTTTCCTGGCAAAAACATTTAAAATTGCAAATGGTATCCATATGTTGCAATATGTCACTAAAGAAAACTTTTTCTTATTAATTATAAAATGGCAAAAACTTAATTTTGAAGATTTTTATAATAAATTGTAAATGCTAATAACAAATGAAATCTTCATTAAGTCCAACCCTACTTGAGATATGACATGACCTGCACTCTATCTACCCATCTTTTAACCACCAAAATTTAATAGTATCAAACTTTCAACAAGGTACACAGGAATTAAGCTTCAAAATGGGTGAACAAAACTGTGCTCCCCTCGAGAGAGAGGAGGAAACCCTCAATTTTTTTTATTCTTGTTTCAAGGTCCCAAGTCCAAAAATTAAAAACTCAGATCATTTTTTGACTAATTTCCATACTTTTGCTCTGTTATATGTAACAGCTGAGAAAGTAATACAATTTAATAATACAAACAGTATTATGAAATGTTTGTTCACTTAGATTTCAATTTTTATGAATATAAAAGTAGAGTGTAAGCAAAATCATTCTTTATACAACTTTTAAGCACAATGCTTAAGGTTATTTTAATTTCACACTGGTCTTAAATTTGGAAAGCCACAATTTATTCTAAAATATCAATATATATATATAAATTAATAGATAAATAATCAAACAGTGCTAACTTTTNAATTGAGAAAATGTGACTATTGTATTAATCTTTAAAATATTGGTATTAAATCTGTCTTATAAAATCACGACTCCTGTAAATCGAGTTATCCGATAAGAATAAAATACAATACCAATATAGCCCTATCATTAAAAAAATTCATTTATTTTTGCTCACCTTGAGTTTTGCTTAGTAGAAATGGCTAAAAAGTGCGCAAAATACATATGGAAATATGGTATTACAGCACCACTTGTATTGGACAACCACCTGTCTAAAAGACCACTTTTTGATGGAACCGTGGGTGGTCGCCATAGACAGATTTTACTGTATATATTTTTATTTTTTACTTGCTTTGTACATATTGTAAATTTTTTGTTTTATTATAATTATTGTTAATCATTTGTGTAGTTCTTAATGTAGGTATAATTGTTAAAATTGAGAGTGGAAATCAACTGTCTAGGGACATTTCTTTAACTATACAATAAATAAATAAATATTTGTATTAATAACAATAGGTATGTTTCATTCTCATATAAGTATGAAAATATACCTTTAATAGTATTAGAATAATGAAAAATTAGTGATTATATTTTTTAAGATAAATCTTAATATTATCATAGATTACATTGTAAAAATATTAAAAGTAGTAATTTTGAAATTTACTATCAAATTAGGACTTAAAGAAAATCATATATACATATTGTACAGTACATATGAATCATAAATGCATACACGAATATAATAAAAATAATTTACTGTATCAGTTGCTTTTCATTTTAAATTGTGATTGTAATATTTCTATTTAATTTAATATGTTCACCGCTGGTATAAAAACTGATTTCCTTAGCAATATGCCAAAAATTTGGTTTTCTTTTTTATTTTTTCTTTAAAAAGTTAATTTTTAAATTGAGAATTTTACTTTGTATTTTTTAGTGAATTCACATGAAAAGTTTTATATACAATAATTTTTTTACATACTTGGCATAGTTTATCAATAAAGATAAATTGTAATATAGATAATTTAATCTTCAGCTATATAATTTTATATGCATATTTTAAAATGTTTTATAGGAGCAAAAGAAGCAGAAAATGCAATTAATCAGTCCATATCATTGAAACCAAATGTACATTCTTCAGACAAAATGTTAAATCGGCATAAGAGGTATTTACATTGCAGTTATTCAGAATATTAATAAGTTATGTATATAGATAAATAAAAGAATCACACTTTCTAGCCTTTAGAATCAATCATTTAATATGTTTTCTGTAAAGATTTAACTGCCAGAAAGACTTAAGTAACTGTTATTTTACTAACAACTCCATAAAAACAATAGTGTGCAAATAGAGAGACTTTTCCTCATTGAACAGCCCTGTATTTAATAACAAACGACGAAATAAGTACGTATTATAAAGCATTACAGTGTTTTTAAGTTAAATATATAAATGCAAGGGATGTAGAACTGGATGACATTTTGACAGGTATCATTTACCTAGTGTAACCTGCATATAGGAACCGCGCCTCGCTGCCTAATCTCTCTAAGTAAACTGTTTGCTAGTCAAATAAGGAAATAAACAGCGAAAAGACGGGAAAGAAAATGTAAGGCGAGAGGAAGAAAAGAAGAACAAACAGCGTGGATGCTGGTTGAGCGCGCACACAACAGGCCACTTCCTTTGTTTTCATGTGTCTCCGCCATTTTGTCTGGTTACGTACGACACTACCGTTTTACCTATGTTAATTATTTACGAGACGAAGTTGAGTTTACGTATTCGTAGCACCCGCTGCCTAAGAAACACGTTGTGTAGGAAAATCAAAAGATAATATGCGGACTTACATTGGATGGTCCTTCCTTTCTTGATTGGCTATGGAAATCTTTTGCCAATGGACGACGAATCAAAACCCTGATTGGTGCGTTCTAGTAACATCGCTATACACCCCCGATTTATCGAATTTTATAAATTCGCACGTGTCCTTATAACGTCCGTAAATTATATATTAATACTTCTCTGTCGGAAATTGTTTTTGTTAAATTATCAGTCGTCGTTTCGGTTTGCTTTTTAAAAAAATTCGCCTTTCTCAAGTCGATATTGATGGAACAGCGTTGTGACGTTGGGAGTGTCGTTCGCCGTCACGTGATTATAGAATCGATTGTAAATGTTTTTGCCTCCGGGGATTTTTCAATCGTCTGCTGTTTTTTTTTCTTTTTCTGTGTCAAGGAAACNAGGTTTGTTAACATATTCAGATAAAAGTTTTTAAGGATAATAAATAATTGTAACTCCGAGAAAAACCTATAAAATATTTATTAAATAATGCAAACACGGGCTTAAAGAAAATGCGTTTGAATTTATTGAACTTATATTTATTTATTTATTTTTATTTATTTATTTCGAAGCTCATATACAGTACTGCACATGTGCGATAAATAGTTTTTGTATCAACCTGCCTTATTTCCACGATATTTTTAGAAAAATAATATTCAAGTAATTTTTGCAGGCAAAATATTCAAAAAACAATAAACGCATTAATGCAAAAATCAGTTTTACAGGCAACCTTCCTTTTTCGATTCCGCAATGACAATTGTGGAATGTAATGAAATCGTATAATGAGAAAAAATAATAAAATCGTTTTATTATTAATTAATAATTTTTCTTATTGTACTTAAGAAAATATTAAAAAATACAGTATTTTTAAAGTTAAAATAAGATTAAACTAATGAATACCAAAACCAAAGTGATGTAGAGATACAATGCACTTGTATATTGATGACGTAATACTCGTGAATGAGGAGCGAATGAAGAGAACCAAGTTGAATTAATTAAGTCGGAAAAAAGAAAGTGTGCATTATAATTGAGAAAATGTGACTATTGTATTAATCTTTAAAATATTGGTATTAAATCTGTCTTATAAAATCACGACTCCTGTAAATCGAGTTATCCGATAAGAATAAAATACAATACCAATATAGCCCTATCATTAAAAAAATTCATTTATTTTTGCTCACCTTGAGTTTTGCTTAGTAGAAATGGCTAAAAAGTGCGCAAAATACATATGGAAATATGGTATTACAGCACCACTTGTATTGGACAACCACCTGTCTAAAAGACCACTTTTTGATGGAACCGTGGGTGGTCGCCATAGACAGATTTTACTGTATATATTTTTATTTTTTACTTGCTTTGTACATATTGTAAATTTTTTGTTTTATTATAATTATTGTTAATCATTTGTGTAGTTCTTAATGTAGGTATAATTGTTAAAATTGAGAGTGGAAATCAACTGTCTAGGGACATTTCTTTAACTATACAATAAATAAATAAATATTTGTATTAATAACAATAGGTATGTTTCATTCTCATATAAGTATGAAAATATACCTTTAATAGTATTAGAATAATGAAAAATTAGTGATTATATTTTTTAAGATAAATCTTAATATTATCATAGATTACATTGTAAAAATATTAAAAGTAGTAATTTTGAAATTTACTATCAAATTAGGACTTAAAGAAAATCATATATACATATTGTACAGTACATATGAATCATAAATGCATACACGAATATAATAAAAATAATTTACTGTATCAGTTGCTTTTCATTTTAAATTGTGATTGTAATATTTCTATTTAATTTAATATGTTCACCGCTGGTATAAAAACTGATTTCCTTAGCAATATGCCAAAAATTTGGTTTTCTTTTTTATTTTTTCTTTAAAAAGTTAATTTTTAAATTGAGAATTTTACTTTGTATTTTTTAGTGAATTCACATGAAAAGTTTTATATACAATAATTTTTTTACATACTTGGCATAGTTTATCAATAAAGATAAATTGTAATATAGATAATTTAATCTTCAGCTATATAATTTTATATGCATATTTTAAAATGTTTTATAGGAGCAAAAGAAGCAGAAAATGCAATTAATCAGTCCATATCATTGAAACCAAATGTACATTCTTCAGACAAAATGTTAAATCGGCATAAGAGGTATTTACATTGCAGTTATTCAGAATATTAATAAGTTATGTATATAGATAAATAAAATAATTTTGTTTTTATTTCTAGTTGTGCTATTACAGAATTAAATAATCTTTCAAATTCTCTTTGGAAAAAATCTCCCATTTATAAAGATCTTACTGCTGGACCAATGGTTAGTATATATACAGAATATATATATATATAGAATATAATTTGTATTTGAATGTAAAAATTATCTACAAAATAGTAAGAATTAATTTTTAAGTAATAATTATATAAAATTTTATTATATTTGAACAGAAGTAAGTAGTATTCAAATGAGAAATAAATAATTAAAATTCATACATTAATTCTAATTTATGTGGATTTAATATAACTATTAGTGACTTATAAAAAATTTAAATTTCAAAAGTATAAGATAAATATTTTAATCAAATTAAAAATAAATATTTGAAGTAGTTACTGGATGTGAGGAATACTCTCTTGTGCATTATCATTTAATTATTAATAGTTTTTAATCAATTATAGTCAATAGTCAGTAGTGTTGAATGTCATAAATTTAGTTTAATGGGATAATGGTTTGGTTTCATTCCTATTGCCTCTAAAAAAAGATGCTTTGAGCAGAAATGTTTTGAGTTTTGGCAGGTACTTTGGAAGAGGTAAGAGCATAAATGGTGCTTCCATATACAGGATGTAATGGTTTCAATAATATTTATTTTTTGTTAAGTAGGATTAAATCTGAGTGATATGATTCATCTTATGTTTCACTGTGTGTTTTCACCACCATTGCAAAGACTCATTGACAATAGGTATAAAGCTGTTAATAATCTAAATAATTGGGTACTTGCAGATATCTATTTAAAAATTCTTATATTGTAACATCATCTAAAGTTTACATACAATATAGCATTTAAAAACATAAGGAAACAAAATTATAAAAATATATAAATATAATTTTTCTATCAAGTTGTTTCAAATTGGATACATTTTGTAACAGATTTTTTAGTTATAAAATAAAAGACAATAAACAGACAATAAAAGTCCCAAAAAACTATTTTAAAAAATTTAATTATAAACAAGCAAACCTTTTGTAAAATACAACACTGTCATTTCATATAGGCAAATAGATGACCTGTTGAAGATTAAAACATAAACAAAGCAAACTGGGATAATTTTAACAGCAAGCTTAGAAGAGTTTTTGATTTCACACAGTACATTTTTGGAAGCAGTATGTTTGTTAGAAACATCTAATCATTGGTTAGTTTTGCAACAAAGAGACATAAGTCTAGATACACCTTTTAAAATCATATAAAAAATAGTATTCATGGTGTCTCTCAAGAAATGTCCATAAATTATAATATTTTCATTGAATATTTGAGAAATGAACAGTGTTTGTCATTCCATAGAATATAAATGGTATTATGTAGAGATACATCACTCTGTTGCAACAAGAACCCAAACTTATATTTAAAATCATATCTAATTCATTTTAGCCAAATTTTGAGATATGCCTTTACAACAATATGAAATTTTGAAAAATTATTCTTTGAAAGTTTGTATTGGAGTATTCCAGAGCATTAAATGTAAAAATAGTGATTATAACATCAACATTTTTTAAATCAGTTTTGTAATGAACACTTATTATTATTGTAAGAAACAAAGTTTTATTAGATTGATTGGAAGGAACATTTTCTCTAATACAACTTTAGAAAGCTCAGTAAATTGGTTGACATCACTGAAATTTTTAAAATTTATTTCATTTATAACTTGTCTTAATTCTTAGCTCCAAATTATATTTTTAATAAAATTAATTTTGAAACTTAAATTTTTGTTTTTATTTATGATATATTTTATGCATGTGTTCTCAAGACTATTCTTTTTAAATTATAATAATAATACATTTATTTGACTATTATTTTGAAATATTTCTATAGAGTACTTGTCAAGCAGAAGTGATATTACCAAATGGAAAAAACTTCAGCAGTATTATTTCTCCTTCAATTCAAAAGGCAAGAGAGAGTGCAGCAGAACAAGCATTAGCTTTCATGGTATAATCTTTTTCTAATTCTTTCAAATTAGTTAGACTTAAGTTTATTTTGCATTTGAATGATGTATTATTTTATTCACATCATAATACTTGTACAATATATATTAATATATATTAAATATGATTAATAATGAGATGATTAATAATATATATATATATATATAAT